AATGGGCTATCTATGCTCTACCCACCACGGGTATCGAAACCCGGTTTCTAGCGTTGTAAGTCCGCAGACATACCGCTGTGCTACTGGGGGGCGGTATAGTAATTTGTTTGTTTGAATTTATGCACAAAGCTACACAATGGGCTATCTATGCTCTGCCCACCGTGGGTATCGAAACCCGGTTTCTAGCGTTGTAAGTCCGCAGACATACCGCTGTGCCACTGGGGGGGGGCAGGAATAAAGTATATATATATTTGTTTGTTTGTAATTAAACACAAAGCTACACATTGGGCTATCTGTGCTCTGCCCACCACGGGTATCGAAACCCGGTTTCTAGCGTTGTAAGTCCGCAGACATACCGCTGTGCTACTGGGGGGCGGTATATATATATATATATGTATGTGTGTGTGTGTGTAAAGGATCTAAATGTGGAAGAACAAAACACTAAGATTTAAAGTGTATTTCTGCTATTATTTATCTACTGCAAACGTATATAACGTTGTAAAAAACAAAACAAAACAAAATATGCACAATAATTAGTAAATTAAATCTGCAGTTTCAGGATACAAAAAACATAGAACTGATATAAAGTTGTTCAGGTCATGGATGCTGAATGATATAGGTGGCATTTTAAATTTGTTTATTATCAAAGACGCCTGTAATCTCAACCACACCTTACCTTCATTAAGAGCCTTTTCTCAAGAGGAAACACAGACCTTGGTTTCAATTCCGGAACATCGTTAATTATTTAAATTTAATTCATCAAAAACTCGTTACAAGACATTTTAAACTCTTATAATTCTGTCTAAGATATTCAACATTAATAATTTTGACAAGACACGAGGATATAAATTACGTTTTTCTTTCTTGAATTACAACCATTCTATTCGGTTGCTCTGCTTAACTTGAGTTCTAATTAAACTACAATTTCGACACGGCGCCACCAACCTAACGAGGAACCATTGTTCAATACTTCTTGTGCTACAGCTACAACAAAAAAAAAGAAGAAGAAAAAGTTAGCCAACAGTTGAATGCTTGCCATAAAAGAGGTGTAAAAAACACCTACCCAGTAATGCGGCCATTTGTTCATTACAAAAGCGGGGCCCAGGGATCGAGCTGGGTTTAACGACGCTCCAGTGGCTGGTATCTGTAAGAAGGAAAAGCAAAACATCAAGTGTTAGTGGTAAAATAAAAGATATCAGAAAAATGTCGAATTTGATGGATTTCTGAACCTTTCATAAGGAAGGCATTCAAAATTAGGAACACTTAACATTTCACACCGCAGTTTTCAATTGTGTCTTGCGGATTTAATACAGATCAGGTATAATATTACAAGAACAGGCTGACAGTTAAAAAAAGAACATTGTATTTGCAATATAAGAAAATTAATTACAAAAACGTTAGACAGTCACAAAACAGCTAGATTTACGAGTTTGTCAAACATTATACATAGCTGACATTAAATATGCTGTTGATCTGTCAATTAAAGCAGGGCTCAAAATTCAATATCTATCTCAGAGGTCAATGCACGTCAACAAAAAAGGTCTCCTATACTTTTATCAGTAGTCAATGCACATCAACAGACAATATTCCAGTATTTTTGTCAGGAGACAACGCAGGCTAACGAACAGTATCTCTTGTACTTCTGTCAGGAGTTAACGTACGCCAACGAACAACATCTGTACTTCTGTCAGGAGTTAACGCACGCCAACGAACATCTGTACTTCTGTCAGGAGTTAACGCAGGCTAACGAACAGTATCTCCGGTACTTCTGTCAGGAGTAAACGCACATCAACGAACAATATCTGTACTTCTGTCAGGAGTCAAAAAATGCTAACGAAAAAAATCTCCGGTATTTTTGTCACGATTAAACAAACAATATTTCCATTACTTCTGTTAGGAGTCAATGCACGTTAACAAACATCGCTGGTCACAATTAAGTAATAACTCTGCATTGTTAATTACAATTACTATTAAATCGTCTTAATAATAAGTAGCCACTTCTATGATTACTCTGCTATTTGTGAGCAGTACAAGTCAAATAGGTAAATATGCTTAATTCCATTTTTTTATATAATAATACGATTGTAGTTAATTGGAAAGCAAACCAACAACAAGAGCAATCAGAGAGATTGCGTATTCTCGTCCCGCCGCTCCTTTTCGAGATTAGATAACGTCAAATTTCACCTTCCAAAAACTCGGAAAATCCTTCTCAGATCCAGAATGATCAACGATCCGGATCGTTTTTTTTTGTAGTGTGATGAGGAGTCTCATCCTTAATGTGCCCATGAAATTTGGTACTAATTGATCACACTTTACAGAACCGAAATCTGCGAAAATTCCCTACCTCCCCATTATCAAAAGTGCTTGAAAGTGATCCGGATCCTAATTTGGATCCAGACCAAATTTGGAGAGGACTGTCCCTCCGGGGGCGAGGGTAAAAATGTTGCAGTAAGTACACTTGCTGCTTAGTGCCTTCTTAAACTTGAGTGTATTCTGTGTTACTGGTGTTTAATATGGTGTTAAACTTCTGTTCATTGTTGGGGTGGCATTTTGAGAAGAAATATTACAATTATAACAATGGACGGTTCAGATATATTGGTTGTACTGATATTTTGACAATAATTTCTGTTGGTTGTACTGATATTTTGACAATAATTCCTGTTGGTTGTACTGATATTTTGACAATAATTCCTGTTGGTTGTACTGATATTCTTAACATCACTAAAGCTAGAATAGGTTTTGCAATGATAATCAAGTCTAAGAAGTATTGAGTGAAAGATAAAAAAAACAAAGATATGTGTTTATATGTCAATCAAACTATATCTACTATATCCAGTACCAACGAGGCCTTTCGCCCATTACTAGGGCTCATCAGGCCGGCGAGGATACAACAGACACAGCAGTGGTCTCGGCGTTATTTGCGTGAACAACAATTACTATATCCAGTACCAACGAGGCCTTTCGCCCATTACTAGGGCTCATCAGGTCCGGCGAGGATACAACAGACACAGCAGTGGTCTCGGCGTTATTTGCGTGAACAACAATTACTATTGTGTGTGTACTAGATTAAATAAGTGGTTTGGGATTATTATTATAATATTTTTATTCTGCTAGATATATTTTCAACTTCTGATGGCAAAGGTTATTTACACCTGAATTTGGAACCAATATAATCCACGCATAGGCATGTGTATTTGTAAAGAACCAATGAATGCTTGATTTTCAGTAAGTTGTCTTTAAATTTGATGGTATTTAAGTTAACGTCTTGAGACTGAGTACTACTAATCCAAGGGTTCATGGTTTCTATCTCGTTGCCGCACAATGCATTTGACACTTTGAGGTCGTGGGTGCACTATAAAAGTGACGGTCAAACACCATCATTCGATCAGAAAAGAGTAGTCCAAAAGTTGGCGGTGGATGCGTTTGAATAGTTGCCTTCTCTCTAGTCTAGCGGGTTAAACTTAGGAACAGTTACATGTATAACTTTGCCAGTAGTTTCGATAATAAAGAAACAAATTTAAATCTAAACAAATGTTGGATCCTATAGTAAATGGTTTTAAAATACATCTTAATTGTGGTTGTGAATTCATGCGACCGATTAACCATCGATTTGATTATATGGGACCATAAGGAAAAATCTACTTACAGAGTAAAATCATATTCTAAGTTTTGTTTTCGTGTTAATCTTTGAAAGCAAATTTAAATGAGATCAAGATAATTTCATGTGATTATCGTCGAAAGCTTTCAAGTTGTTTATCGAGCGAAGAACATATTCGGAATGTTGATATTCTCAATGTCTCGTCCTTTTTTTTTTCCATTTCATACCATCTATGTGTAGTTAAGAGCTGGAACTAAACGAAAATATTTGAGATGAAAATATTAGTGTCTGAAAATTTGATGGGCCTAACAGGAAATCTAACATTCTAACTATTCATACAACACTAAGATTTAGTGTGTATTTTTTTTTCTATTCGTTAAAGAATACGAACAACTTAGAATAGATTTTCATGTGTTATGTGCGACTAGCCTATCGATAAAGAACGTAAGAATTTCTGCATCAAAAATTTCCCTCATCTCCTCCTCATAGTTTTCTCATGTGTGAGATAAAACACGTGAAGTGTAAACACTGTAATAGCTGCATTGTCACATAAGGCTCTTCTGCTTCTTTCTCTTCTCATTGATTGTTGCCATGGTGACGACGAACCATTTCTATTAAGCTGTTCTGGACACCTTACACTATATATGTACCGAACCTTATAGCAAAGTTCCAACTGTAAATTTTACCTGCATTTAAAAATAAAGAATTCTTGTTTTTTTTTCTGTCTGTGAATTTTGCCTGATATTCAAAAGTTAACATAGCCATACTTCCAGATTAACTGTTATTATGTTTTCCTATATTCATTGTAAACAAAATATCCACAGTCAAAGTTACACGAGTTGTTTCTTCGAAACAAAATCACAAAAAAGTGACACTGCACACTTGAAACAATGGTTCTATTAATACTTGAGTGATGAACCTAAGGAAATGGTCATGAAATTTCTTTACTGGCTTAGCCACCCAAAACGACAAAATGAAAGTAGCTCAGCCTGTATATATATATGTACTAAACGTTTATAGAAAAAAGTAGTCCAGAAACGTCCCAGTTGGTTGATAGGTGTTGTTCAACAAAATGAAAGTAGCTCAGCCTGTATATATATATATATATATATGTACTAAACGTTTATAGAAAAAAGTAGTCCAGAAACGTCCCAGTTGGTTGATAGGTGTTGTTCAACAAAATGATAGTGGCTCAGTAAACGCAAAGGGATTATGAAGCCAGAAATACGATAGTAGTCGTAGAGAAGTAATACGGCAAAATGACAAAAGTAAAATAAAACAGTGAATAAAATGCGGTAAGTATTGATAAACCTATATTTACAAACGTAATACAATGAAGTTTCCACAAACATACACATTTATAGATATGTATGTATATATGTGTGATATTTACATTAGGAATTGGGATTTTCAACCTAAATGGTATCTTATCTTCAGTATGAACTACTGACCAGATGAAAAGCAACCAGACAGCAATACCTGTTGCCAAAAGATTTTGTCCAACTCTTTGAACCGAATTGTAGGTTTAACCGTCACTTTTATAATGCTCCTCGACTGAATATGTGGAGCGTATTTAGCGCTATCGTGTCTCCAACCCCGAACCCTTTGATATGCAGCCCGAAAGCTAACTATTCACTCAAGCTAGGCCTAGAGTTTTTTCTATAAGAATTGGTAACTTCTGCTTTATCTACGATGCCAAATATCACAACCAAAAGAAAATTTCATAACCTCTTGCAAGACTTAGTTAGCGGAGTCAACTGTTGTGGAGAATCTAGTGAATTCTTGTCATCAGCTTCGTAACTCCATAATCTCTTTCCAGGCGTAATTAGCGGAGTCAACGGTTGTGGAGAAGCTAGTGAATTCTCTGTCATCAGCTTCGTAACTCCATAATCTCTTTCAAGGCTTAATTAGCGGAGTCAACGGTTGTGGAGAAGCTAGTGAATTCTCTGTTATCAGCTTCGTAACTTCATAATCGGAGTCAATAATTAGCGGAGTCAACGGTTGTGGAGAAGCTAGTGAACTCTCTGTCATCAGCTTCATAACTCCATAATCTCTTTCAAGGCTTAATTAGCGGAGTCAACGGTTGTGGAGAAGCTAGTGAATTCTTTGTCATCAGCTTCGTAACTCTGATACTAACAGATGTTTCCGCATATAAAAGCTCTCTTCATACTTCAATAAACTAAGCTCGCGATTCAATAGACTAAAATCGCGACTTACAGTAGCTATTAACATTTTCTATAAGTAAGTAAAACGGAAATATCATCAAAAGTACTCAGGGAAAATTTATACAAATAATTTAAAGTTTGTCACGCTTCAATTTGAAGTGTACGTTTCAGGAAAAGATAAATCTCAAAGTTTTCTTATCCCCTGTCACCTCGCTGAGGATTACTTTAAGATTTAGAAAGCTGAGAGAGGGAATTTAACAATATTTGAAACCCTCATATTGAACTTACTAGTAAGAGTCAGAATACAAACACAATATTTTGATACGGCTGAGAACGTACCTTTAATGCTGCTTAAATCTGCAAAATGTACTATTCTGTGTT